GGTGTTGGAATTTTTACAGAGGGGGACTGATATGAACTTGTCATGTAGTATGCTTAAGTGCAAGTGTCGGCACTTTCGGTTTATTTGGAGACTAGACTAGCTGAAGAACCCCTGATCAAGAGGTTCCTGAAGGCCACGGGCCGCAACAGACCACCTCCAGTTAAGAGCTATCCATCTTGGGATCTGTCAGTGGTACTCAAAAGCTTCCTTGGGCCCCCCTTTGAGCCTATCGGGGACTGCTCAATACAACTTCTCACAGTAAAAGTGGCTCTGCTGATAGTGATCGTATCGGCCAGAAGGGTAAGCGAGATTCATGCGTTCTCCATGGCTGAACCTTATTGCATTATTCATGCAGACAGAATTGTCCTCAAGCCAGACCCACGTTTCCTGCCAAAGGTGGTTTCCACGTTTCATCGCACACAGGAGGTAGTTATCCCTTCCTTCCACCCTAACCCAGTTACTGATAATGTGGACTGATAATGACTTCTGTTTGGCAAGAAAACCAACACTGAATTCCAACATAAGAATGCTATCCCATCTGTGAAACGTGGTGGCAGTATCATGGTTTGGGCCTTTTTTTACTGCCTCTGGACCAGGATTGCTTGCTATCGTTGCTAGAACTATAAATTCTGAATTGCTCTTTCCATTGTCGGCTCCATTTTTGAGAGATCTGCACAGATTGTGCCACTACCTTTTTAGGCATCTACCAATTACAAGTTCCTACAGGAATTTTGTAACTTGGTTAACTGAGCTAGCTAAAATTAACTCCTGAGGAGATCTGTTCCACATTTTGACATCTCTAACAGTGAAGAAGCCTTTTCATCTGCAAAGGTTAAACTGCTTTGTCCTTCGCAGTGACCTTAAAGTGAATAATTTGGCACCAAGCTTTCTATATGGACCATTCATGTATTTATACATGGTGATCATATTCTCCCTTGTTTCTTAAGAGATGATAAATTCAGTTCAGATAATATTTCCTCATAACTGAGCACCTCCATGCCTCTCATGAGTTTAGTTGCCCTTCTCTGCACTTTTAGTTCCACAACCTCCTTGTGAACTGGTGCCCAAAACTCAGCTGCATATTCCAGATGAGGTCTTAGTAATGCTTTGTAGAGGGGGAAAATTATGCCTCTGGAGTCTATACCCCCTAATACAAAGTACACTGCTCAAAAAATTAAAGGAACACATTTTAATTGGAGTATAGCATCAAGTCAATTAAACTCCTGGGATATTGATCAGGTCAGTTAAGTAGCAGAGGGGGTTGTTAATCAGTTTCAGCTGCTTTGGTGTTAATGAAATGAACAACAGGTGCACTAGATGGGCAACAATGAGACGACCTCCTAAACAGGAATGGTTTTACAGGTGGAGGCCACTGACATTTTTTCCCCTGCTCATTTTTTTCTGATTGTTTTCCACTAGTTTTGCATTTGGTTAGAGTCAATGTCACTACTGGTAGCATGAGGCGATACTTGGACCCTATAGAGGTTGCACAGGCATGCCAACTCCTCCAGGATGGTACATCGATACGTGCCATTGCCAGAAGGTTTGCTGTGTCTCCCAGCACAGTCTCAAGAGCATGGAGGAGATTCTAGGAGAGCTGGACAGGGCCGTAGAAGTTTCCTAACCCATCAGCAGGACCGGTATTTGCTCCTTTATGCAAGGAGAAACAGGATGAGCACTGCCAGAGCCATACAAAATGACCTCCAGCAGGCCACTGGTGGGAATGTCTCTGACCAAACAGACTTCATGAGGGTGGCCTGAGGGCCCGACGTCCTCTAGTGGGCCCTGTGCTCACAGCCCGGCACCATGGAGGTTGATTGGCATTTGCCATTGAACACAGGAATTGGCAGGTCCGCCACTGGTGCCCTGTGCTTTTCACAGATGAGAGCAGGTTCATCCTGAGCACATTTGACTGATGTGAAAGGGTCTGGAGAAGCCGTGGAGAACATTATGCTGCCTGTAACAACGTTCAGCATGACCGATTTGGTGGTGGGTCAGTGATGGTCTGGGGAGTCATATCCATGGAGGGACGCACAGACCTCTACAGGCTAGACAATGGCACCCTGACTTCCATTAGGTATCAGGATGAAATCCTTGGACTTATTGTCAGACCCTACACTTGTGCAATGGGTCCTGGGTTCCTGCTGGTGCATGACAATGCCCGGCCTCATGTGGCGAGAGTATGCAGCCAGTTCCTTGAGGATGAAGGAATTGATACCAATGGCCCCTATGCTCGCCTGACCTGAATCCAATAGAACACCTCTGGGACATTATGTCTCGGTCCATCCGACGCCGCCAGGTTGCAGCTCAGTTCCCCCTGGTCCAGATCTGGGAGGAGATACCCCAGGACACCATCTGTCGTCTCATTAGGAGCATGCCCCGACATTGTCTGGCATCCATACAAGCACGTGGGGGCCATACACACTGAGTACCATTTTGAGTTGCTGCAATGGACCAGCCTAGTCTATGGTCTACCAGTATACCCAGATCTTTCTCCATCATTGACTCCCTTAAATATACTCCCCCCCTAGAGTGTATGAAGTGCATCGTCTTAGTCCCCCAAGTGCATAACATTTATCAACATCTTCATTTGCCACATAGATGCCCAATCAAACAGTGCATTTAGGTCTGTTTTGTAAGTTGATGACATCCTATGCGGACTGTATTCCATTACATAGCTTGGTGTCATCCACAAACACAGAAATTGTACTTTAAACCCCAAACTCTATATACTTTATACATTTAACAATAAGGGTCCCAGCACTGACCCTTGGGGGGCACAACTAACAACCTTAGACCATTTAGAGTATGAATTATTGATCACCACTCTTTGAATACGGTATTTCAGCCAGCTTTCTATCAAATTACAGACCATGCTCTATATCTACAGAACTTTACTTATTTATCTCAAAATGTAGGCTTTTTTTTTTTTTAAATGGTTGCTTCCAGTGGAAACAAGGCACATGGGTGAAGTCCTTTTGCAACCTTTACGGCCTTCAGGATGGCATTTTTCTCTGTATCCTCCTTTTTGCTTAACTTGTATTCCAGTACTGTGTTCCCAAATACTTCCAATTGCCTCAAATTAGAGGTTTTGAACACTTTCAAATGGTCACAGACTGACAGACTGCAAATACCGACTGCCCCAGCCAGATGATAACTACTAGAGCTGCAACAACTATTCGATTAAATCGATTAAAGTTGATGATGAGAGTCGTTACCAACGTTTCTCATCATCGAATAGTTGCTGCGGTTCTCCTCCCCGCTGGTGCTGGCTGCAGCGGGGATTTTTTTTTTGCATTTTTTAAATTTTTCTTTTATGTTACTTTAATTTTTATAACTTTTAAACACTATTTTTTTTATTTATTTTTTTTACACTGACCCTGGAAGCCGCTGAATCTCTCTCGGCACGTTACAAACGATCCGGCACCTGTACAGACGACGGATCACTTGTACATTAACATCCATTGCCTGCTGTTAAAAGCAGTACCAAGAACTCAGCTGCTGCAGCAGTCGTGTTCTTGTTTTAACCACTTTAAGTGGAAGTGGTTAAATAAAAGTTGTTTTGTTTATTATATTGGCTTATTTTTACAATTCAGAGTATTTAAAATCCACGAACCTAATTAAAATGTCTAATATATTACAATTATTAAAAAGATATATATGTATATAGATGTGTGTGTGTATGTATGTATGTATGTATGTATGTATATATGACAAATTTTGCTGCAGGAGGTGCGTTGCAGTGACATTCATTTCAATGGATCCCAAATGCACCTCCCGTCCGCAGTGTGATAGCTGGAACGCGCGGTACTGAAAAGCCCTCCGTTAAGGTGCGATATTATTTTTTAATTTTTTTTATCCGATTAACTGATTCATCAAAGTTAATAATCGGCTAACCGATTATGAAAATAATAGTTAGCTGCATCGCTAATAACTACCTCATACTTCTTTTTTATTTTTTAGTGAATTGGCTTTAATGTATTTCACGTGTATCATGTTTTTTTAGTTTTTGCTTTATTTATCATGTTAATGAATTTACTTTCTTTTTTTCTTTCTTTTTTTTATCTCATGAGATTAAACCATCTCATGAGATAAAAAGAAACAACAAAAGTGAGCCCATAGTAAGTACACATCTTTTTAATGCCTTTCAGGTATTATTATTATTATTAGTATGCACGATTTATATAACGCCAACAGTTTTGCGCAGCGGTTTACAATATAAGGAAGACAGTACAATCGCAAAACAATTCAAGACAACATGGTAAGGAGCAGTGGCGTAACAATCACCATAGCGACCCAGGCGGTCGCTATGGGGCACAAGGGGACCCGGCCAGATGTTGAGCGGACCGTCTGGGTCGCTATGGCATCCTCTGCTGGTGGCTTTCACTGGCGGCTCTGAAGAAGAATGCGCTGCTGTTCAGATCACTGACCGTAATCTGTGCAGCAGCGCGTTCGTCTCCAGAGCTACTACTGAGTCAATGAGAGCCAGCAGCAGCGGTGGTGGAGGCCGGACCCGGCAGGGGACGAGGCGGGGCCCGTGGTCAACAGCAGGGGAAGAGGTGGGGCCCGGTGACGGAGGAGGCGTGGCCCGACGATGGAAGAGGAGGCGGGGCCCATCAGCCAGTGTGGAGGAAAAGGAGGTGGACAGGTAAGCTGTGCGACCAGCCCACCTGAGGGTGACCCTGCAGAGCCCACCATAGACTGCAGGGTCACCCTCAGGTGGGCTGTGTGGGATCTCAAGTGGGCTCTGCAAGGGGTATAACTAGAAATCACAGGGCCCCATACAAAATTTTGCTATGGGGCCCTGTGATTTCTAGTTACGCCCCTGGTAAGGAGTGCCCTGCCCGTGAGGGCTTAAAACGCATCATTCAGCATCTGCTCAGGTTATAAGTCTTCAGTTGATGGCCGTATTTAAGAAAAAAAAAAAATTAGTTGGAAGTTTGGTTTGTTACATTTAGTAATTTTCCTGTCTTTTTTTTTTTGTTTTTGTTTCTATTCAGATATTTCTATCCCACAGAATGGAGAACCTATTGGAGCACAGGAAGTAAAGAGCTGCATTTATCAGATCAAAGAACTGATAATTTCACGTCTGAACCAAGCTGTTGTAAACAAGCTTATTAGCTCAGTGGACTATCTCCGGGAAAGCTTTGTTGGCACATTAGAAAGGTGTCTTCGTAGTTTAGAAAAATCCCAGCAAGAGTCCTCTATGCATGTCACGAGCACCCATTTAAAGCAGGTGAGAATGCTGAAATGGGTATGAAATTAAACTGTTGCATAGTGTTACTCCTTTTCATAACTGGTTGAGTCATGCCCTGCAGATTGCAAACCTAAAATAATTGTTACTATAATGCAGTAGTCTATACAGAGAAGTGTTGGAACAAAATAAGACCAGATATAGATACATTAGGATAAAATCTCTCCTCAGGGGTGTGGAAATTTAGGAAAAAACTAATTGTCCGAGGACTAAATCGGGGCCGAATCTACTTGTCCCTCATGACAATCTACTTGTCTTGATACAAAAAGCATTATGTTAACCAAACCGTATTTAGCAGTGCTAAGAAGCGCTTCCCATTGGTCAATGCCGTCAGGTGACCGCGTTGACCGAGTGCTTGCAATTTGCGAGCGAAATTCACAGCCATCGTGTGCGGTTGCATCCGCATGTATGGGGTTACTTCTGGGTGGCAATCGCTGAAAAGGTACATGTACCTATTTTCACGACATGCACCGCGCAGTGTTTTCAACCGTGATCGTGTGGGATCGCCTGGGCGGTATTGCAGCAGGAAAACGCGCAATCTGCCTGGCACGACTGGGGTGCCATTAGAAAATAATGGCACTGACAGTACGATTGGCGGTGGTGTGCGATTCCGTGACCACCCAGCCATCAGCTCGGTTTCGTGCATGATGACCGGTCAGTCACAGATCGCACACCACCGCCGATCGCGCTGGCAGTGCCATTATTTTCTAATGGCACCCCAGTCGTGTCAGGCAGATTGCTGTGTTTTCCGAGCGGTATCACACGATCGCAGTTGAAAACACTGCGCGCTTATTCGCATGCAGATGGGGCAGCGGGGCTGGTTTTCATTTTTTCAATTTTTATTAAAGGAGAACTATGAGGTGAGTGCTTTTCACTCACCTCATAGTTCTAGCTGACCTGTGACAATGAGACTGTCACAGGTCGGCTCAGTAGATCGGGAGGTGAGCGAACACATACCGGCGTTCGCTCACCTCCCGATCCTGTCACGGCTCTCTGAGGGGCTGGATTCCCCGCTCCGCCAGCACTGACTGGCATAACGGACGGGGGAGGGGGCGGGTACAGCTGGCTCTGCATCTAGATAGGCAGAGCCAGCTGTCAGTCACCCAGCTGGGCGGATCCAGACATAATTGTCGGGATACGCTGCGGCATCTCGGTATACCGCGAGCTACAGCTCGCGGTATACTGAGCTTAGGGTGACGGGAGGACGCTAGTTTGTGTCCTCCCGTTGCCCTAAGGAGAACTATGGGAAAAAGCCTCCTTTTACCTTTGCAAAATGTTTTCATTTGTTTTATTGTATTTATTTACTTTATCGCCTTTTTATTTTTTAAATTTTTATTTAGTTACATTTTTAACTATTTTTTTTTTTTTAACTTAACTGTATCACACAGTGCTAGCTTTTGGAGGTGACAGGTTCTCTTTATCATCGGCGATCCACGCCCCCCGCTCTCGGCGCTCGTTTTAAAAAAAGTAAAGCCAGCCCTGCTACGGACAAGTAGCAGGGCTGGCTTTACTTTGTAAAACAGTGAGAAAACCACTTGCCCGGCGCCCGGAACTACATGTCCCGGGCGTCGGGCGATATGAATTCCACACCCCTGCTCCTGCTTGCTCGCTCTCAAAAAAACCCACAAAAATATGTACTTGGCTCAGACTGCAGGTTCCACAAATTCGGTAATGAACAGGACTTCCTGGCACAGGCCTTCATAGGAAAACGGCTTCTCGCTGCAGTCTCTGCTAAATCCTTTGTATTAGAGTGCGGCCCTCCCTTGGTCAGAGTGATGTCCTCTCGTCTTGTGAAGCCCCCTGAACCTTTTCAGCTACTGTCTTTTTATTGAAAGAAACTGGCCTCCCACTTGGAGGCGCCGCCCCTTTCACTTTTATGAAAGTGAAATACCATGCATTTCACTTTCCCACCTCCAGGTGGCAGCGTTGTATCATAAATTGCCATCAGTAGTCCAGATTTGATTTGACCTAGGTGTGACTGTTTACACAAGGCTTCCTGATATCACCATACCATTGTGATATGAATAATGGTGAAACAATACAGGGCAGTCACACCATTGTCCAAAACCAGTTTGGTTTGTTTAGAAGGCAAATCTATGGGTGTCTGAAAACATCCAATAAAATATTGTAAGACATTACGCCCTGGATTATTTCAGATACCACACAGATAAAAAGTGTACCCTAACCATTAATGACACTCATACCAAGCATTCATTCACAATGGATACAACAACCCCCCCAAGTTCCTCTACTAAAGAGGTATTTCAGTCTTTTGGCAAAGTTCATGAGAGAAGGTCCAGTCTTGTAGGCTTATTCTCCTCAGTTCTCGTGGTCTTACTCTACTCTTCATCCTGAAGCCACTTTCTCCATGGATCAAATCGGCGACAGCCTATGGAGTGGGAAACAGAGTGGGTTAACTGTTCCTTCCAACAACACAAAAACAGTAGACCCTGGCCCTCCCGCTACAATCTCTCCTTTAGCTGGCTTCTTGCCTCTCTCTCTCTCTGACTAATACTTTGCCACCTGTTTGTACCCATTTGTGGTCCTCCCAAAGAACATCAATAGGGAGGAGAGGAAATATACTGATATATTTCTCAGTGTCACATTACAATTTATCTTGGAAGGTTTGAGGTTATAGAGCCTATCTTTCCACTCTGACTGAGAAGTGTCAACTAACCAGTCAGAGTCCCAAACTTCTGTAATGGCCATTGTCGCAATTCTCCACACACTGTACAGTTTCCTATCACAGTCTTTATCATATCCATGGTTATGGGCAATCCTCTCTGCTGCGCCCATTCATATGTAGCTTTCTGCCCCAAATGTCCTGATTTGCTTGTTGGCCAAGTTCATCAAGACTGGATCAATTGGCACAACTGCAGTCACTTTGGCGATCTCATCTGCCACTCTATTGTAGTTTTCGAAGTCTGGAACTAGGGGCATATGTGCATCTACATGCCCCACTTTTATTGTACGTGAGTGGGCTTCTTTCCAGATATAGTCCCAGATTTCCTTGCCTCCCCACACTGCCTTTCCATGAATTAACCAGTCATTGGTCCTCCATGTGGGCATCCAAGTTGTCATTCCTTTAAAGACTGCCCAGCTGTCAGTGTAGATTGTGACATGGGAAGAGTAATCCTCCTGTAGCGTCATTACTATAGCTTTCAATTCTGCATACTGGCTGGAACCTCCAATTCCAGTCTCTTGTAGGACTGTGTCTGTACTTTGATTATAGGATGCTGCTGTCCACTGTCGCCCAGAGGAACTGACTATGGCAGAACCGTCAGTGAACCTTGCTGACTCTTTATCTTCTGACAGGCTCAAAATGCGGAGCCTCGTGAATGGGAAATTGCTGCAGCACAGGAATTTCTTCTTCTGGCTGGGTGCTAGTGAATGTGACAAGCCCTGCCAGTTGCTTTGAAATGTTTCTGACATCTCCTGCTGCAATACCCCCCTCTCTCCTGAAGGTACCACTTTCATTTCATCAAAGTCTGGTTCTGAGCTACAGTTACCCTAGTGGTTAGTCCATTATCTCTCATCCATCCTGCTATGGGCAATGCAGTATGGATGGTGACTGGCTCCTTTTCTGTAATGGTTTCTACATGTTGGAGTGCTGTGCAGGCTCCAAACAGGTACTTTTCCAAGGAACTATAGTTCCTCGGTGCCCCTGTCAGCTGTTTGGACCAAAATCCAATGGGTACAGCCTGCTGTCCTCATTTGGCTGCCACAGACTCCAAGATATGGTACAATCCTGCTCCACTACATCCAGCTGCAATGGTACACCTGGTCTCACGGGTCCCAGTCCCTGGAGCTGTATGATGGCTTCTTTAGCAGCAAGGAATGCGGTCTGCTGCTCGGTACCCCATGAAAACTCAGTCTTTTTCCTTGTCACGTTGTATATGGGCCTCAATATCAGTCCAAGATGTGGGATGAACGATCTCCAGAATCCCACGACTCCAATGAATTTCTGGGCTTACTTTTTGGTAGTAGGAGGTGACAATCCCTGAATAGTTTTCACAACTGTTTCTGGAATTTTCCTCTGTGGCCCAGTCCCAAGAATTTCACCTCCTGTAGCAGTTCCCTGAACTTTGTCTCTGTTTACAGCCCATCCTCTGTTCTCCACGTGCTGTATCAAAAGGTGCAGTGCTTCAGTTACATCCTCTTTTGGTTCCAGAGATCATGATGACACAGCAACTTTCAGATTCAGGGTGCTCAAATCTCGAGCAATCCAGTCCATGACTCGAGCAGTCCATGACAAATAGTTGGTGAATGAAGGTATCCAAAGGGCGAAGCAACCCCAAGAGTGCAAAAACCTATGCGGAGGAGTGATAAGACAAGACAAATTCATGGCCCCCCAAATCCCCCCCTGAAACCGGGAAAGTGCCGTTTAAATTTCCAAACCAAAAAGCATACAGCTAAAGGGTCAAAACATGAGTTATATATCCTCATAACCATCAGAGATAACACCTAGATAGGGCTCTATATCATTCTTCCTTGGCTCCAGCCCAGCCCCTAAGTCCTTTGAAAGGATCGTACAATAATAGGATCATAAAATCTCGTCAGTGCCACATAGTAACGAATCTAAATAATGCTTGGCTTGGGCCAAGGGGCAATGTAAGAGGATTTTAATAAATAGTTACAGGTAGGTATGGATAGTTAATCCTATCCACATATAAAATACATTTGTTCATAGAAATATAACTACCCACAGTCTCCCTCCCCCCGTAACATAGCATGGCAGGGGAAAGGTACAGTAAAATGGGGTCAGTGTAACTATGCCAATTGAGAGCAGTGAATTAAACCTGGATGACTATGTTCCGGTGAGCAGGGTACCAGAGAACTCTGCATACAGATGAAACCAGTCTAAATTATGCTGGTGTCAGTCCCACAAAAATAAAACTGTAGGAAACTCAGGTGTAGCTCCATTTAGAGCTTAATTACTAATTACCATCTTCTCTTCCCGTCCCTCCCCCAATAGGTGTTGCAAACTATTCCTTTTCAGTTGGAAGTAGCAGTCTTGGTTTGCTGTCATTGAAAAATCCATTTTATTTTTTTTTTCAGTTCAGAGAATCTGGCACAGTGTTGACCATGTACTTATTGTCAATTTTGTTAAGCACTGGCCACTGTATCAAGTAGTTGTCCTATTGTTTAGAACACTGATCTATCCTTACGACCCATAGAAAAAAAGAATGCTAATTTGCATGTTAATGTAAAACTTTTCATCTCCTATTAGATATTGAATGCTGCATACCATGTGGAGGTCACATTTAATTCCGGATCCACTGTCACCAGAATGGTGTGGGAGCAGATTGTACAGGTAAATGAAAGCTTGCAGAGCAGAGTGTGACTTTTACTGTAAATCAGCTTGATGCATGGATTTTTTAAACATTGTTTAAAACTATTGATTTATTGGGGCTATTGTATTTGCACATTTCTTTTTGGCAGCAATGTATTGTGATTTGTGCTTTACTGTTCCTCTTCAAATATGTATGTTTTAAGGGGGAATCTGTACTTTGAAAATATGGAGGTCACCATTGCTGAACACCACCTGAAAAATGTTGGTTGCCTCTGACTTCACTACATTAAACCCCGACCCAGAACCCGAATGTTAATCAGACCTCAGAATGAAGTCGGAACCCTGCAGTACCTGCCTGAATTAAGCACAGAACATTGTTTTAGGAATCTCCTGGCCCACCTTGGTCCAGTGAAGTGCCCAAACCTGTGTAAGTAAGGATCAGGAAAATTGACCATACTGCTAACCACCATGCTTGCTTGAAGAGACCGATGAGTCATACCAGGAGCTACCCACTCTATAGAGTGGAGGGCAGAGGAGGACCGAGAACCAACGAGAGAATGGAATGATCTTGAGAGGGTGTTCACCCAACACACTCTTGACGGGTTTCCTGCCTTATTGGCATGTCAGTGGCTGTTGCCCACCCCCCAGGTGGCTCGCAGAAGTGGTTAAAACAAGAACACAGCTTCTGCAACGATGGCTGTAAATGTACAAGTGAACAGCCGCCAGATCGTTTGTGCCATGCGGCCCCTCCGCTCTTAGAGCCAGGAGAAGAAGCTGGGTTAGCAGATGTCTGTTTCCTGAGCTTCTTTGGGGTCCCTAGGTGACATTAGGGGTGCTTGTTAGCCCCCTATGTGATAGCAATAAGGTCAGTGTAAAAAAAAAAGTGTTTAAAAATTAAAGTAACATAAGAAAATAAAGATTGCAAAAAAATAAAGTCCCCCCCCCACGTGCACACGCAAACACGCGTAGGTGCGCCTACGTGCGAAAACGACAACACATGTTACATATCGCCGCAAACGTCAGAGTGGGAGCAATAATTCTAATGCCGTCAATCACTTAACACTAAACTGAAAGTGTTTAAAGTGTTCCCTATGGGAAATTTTGGATATTGACGTTTTTGCGGCTTCACGGGCGAATGCAATTTTAAGGCTTGACATGTTTGGTATCTATTTTATCCGATTTGACCCCATCTTTCATATTTTACCAAAAAGTTGGGTATTATATTATGTTTCTGTGCAGTAAATTATCATTTAGTAATATTTTTTTCCTAAAAAAATATTGGTTTGATAAACATTTGTGCAAAATCCGTACGACATAAAAAATTGCAACTAACATTTTTTTTTTCTACAGGGCCTCTGGTTTCAGAACATATATAAGTGTTTGGGGGTTTAAAGCTGTTTTCTAGCCAAAAATTTATATTTTATCATGTGTGCTCAAAAAGTAAGAAAATAGTAATAGAATATGATCCGGCAAGCAAGTGGTTAATATTTATTTTGTGACTTTTTTAATCCTTGTATTTTAGGGCTGGTAATGATTTAAAATTTTTGTGTTCGATTCATCGAAAATCTTTTTAAATCGATTAATTTCGATTAATTATAAGCCATTATTATACATTCAAGGGAACTGTATAACTGGAAGACAAAAAGAAAGAGAAGGGCGCCCACCCTAGTGCAGATGGTTCTTTATTGTTTAAAAATAGTAAAATAGAGTGCAAAGGTATTCACAATGGTAGATTGATTAGAAGCATAAATGAGTAGTTTAAGGATACACCAATATGGACGGCACACAGGCTGATTGAAGTTTGTAAACTGATGTATCCTTGAACTACTCATTTATGCTTCTAATCGATCTACCATTGTGAATACATTTGCAAGTATTTTATATATCTGAAAATTCCTATAAAGACTTTTGAAAATAAAAATATGCTGTTCAATATGTGAACAATTCCCCATCATTTGACTCTTTTTTTTTAAAAACACTGCAAGTGTAGAAAATACCCGTTGATCTGCGGAAAATTCATTTGGGGGAATTTATCAAAACTGGAGCAGACAGAATATGGAGCAGTTGCCCATGGCAACCAGTCAGCTTCTCTTTAGCTCAGTTAATGAAAGATAGAAGCTGATTGGTTTCCATGGACAACTGCTCCAGATTCTGTCTGCTCCAGTTTTGATAAATTCCCCCATTGTGCTTCTAGTTCTGGTCTTCTGTCCCACACCACATGCATACACTGATTTTTCTTTCCCATTGGAACAATACCCGAGCCCTTCTTTCAAAGAGCTTGTCCACACATGGTGTGTAAGGAAAGGACTCTTGGGAGATATACTTCTGTGGGCATACTTATGGAACTGTGCTTCTGGCAGATGTATTTTACATGACTGTAAAGTATGCTGTGAACACTTTGAAAGACAGGAGGGTGTGAAGCTAAATTTGATGGGAAACCTCCAGTGCAGCAGTCGGGCAATAGAAGGTGCTCTTCTGCAAGGACATCTCAGAGTGAGGAGTGAACACTAAAAAGGGTTGTCGGAGCTTGCTCATTGGGAGCGTAAAACTGGGCTCAAATCTCCAGCACTTCTGACAGGAAACAGAAAATGCTCTTCTCTTTATATTGTACAGAATTTTAGGCTGTGCAAGTTGTCAATTGTTAAGGTAGAAAGCAAGGTATGTAAAAATCAGAATGCTTACCTATGTAATTTCCACAGATCATACAGCGCATTACATGGGTCAGCCCTCCTTCTATCACAACAGAGTGGAAGCGCAAAGTGGCTCAGGATGCAATTGAGAGCCTGAGTGCATCCAAGCTTGCTAAGAGTATCTGCAGTCAATTCTGCAAGCGCCTGAAAAGCTCTCATGAAGCATTTGCTGGTTCCCTCAAGCAGGTGGGTGTCTTTTTTATCAGTTGTACATTTTTCTTGTTTAAAGTTAGCATATGGACTATTTGTGCCTATTGACCTCTGATGTAAGCGTTCCTGTGGCTAACATATTTATAAATGATCTGCAGGTTAGAAAAATAAATTTGTATACAAGTTATGGTCTTCATACACCATATTCTAGCTGCATCTTGGCATCCTAATGAGTAGCTCCATTTTCTCTATGCTTTGTTTTTGTTTTATTGATCACTGCTATATTAGTAACGGGTTTCACCCACATTCTATGCTGAGGTATATTATGATTTAGGGATGCAAAAAGGACAGTCTTGTAATTCTGTCTTTATGAACCAACATTCTGCATTTTGAGTCTAGCTGTGTTCGTCTATGCTGTCTAGTGATTTCCCATGGACCTCTTTGCTGAAGTCTTTCTATTAAAACATGAGGCTTACAAAGGGACAGCATGGCATAAAGTTGTCTCATTTACCCTCTTTGCCTGATGGGAGCCATTCACAGTAGAGAATTAAGGGAGTCAGAGTTTTTTTTTGCAGACATAACAATCTGCTACACCTTTCCTTGTTTTTCCCCGGCAGATAGTACTTTCTGGTTTGGGCTGTTTGTTCATTGTCATGCTGCAGAATGAAGTTGGGACAAACCAGATGCTTACCTGATAGTAGTGCATGATAGATGAGGTTATGCCTATACTCGGCAGTGAGGGTACCATTTTTTTTTTTTTTTTTTTTTTTTACCACATCCCCAGCTTCATTTTTTAGAAAGGCATTTTTCACATTGCAGGAAAACACTACCATTCTTCACTGTTTCCTGAAAACCTTCACCCACATACTGTCTTTTGGCCCTTAGTTAGACAACCCTGCTTTAGGTTAATGCCAGATATTTCACATGTTGAATAATCTGTACAGAATAACTGCAGCCATTTTACTGTCCCCTGGTCCTTGTGTTTTGCATATAGGGGTGTTGTGTTGGCATTGTTTGTTTACATGTCGTGGCTTTATGGTTGCAGCTATATGAAGACCATTCTGATGAGACTTATCTGGACTGTGGATGGGTATACTATGGTTCCTGTGGTTTTGTCAATTTTGAACTGGTCCAGGAAGTTTAAAAAATCAAAGACAAAAAAAAAAAAAAACAGTTTGTTACATTGACGCTTTATGATGAAATAAATTACATATATTTCAAAAATATTGGGATTGCACTCATTCTGGTTTAATATTTATATATGCAATGTGACTGTGTTTCATGTTACACTCTGAATATGAGTGCAACATTAAACATGGCCTCAAAGGAAAAGTGGCCTTTAAGATTATATAGTCAACTATGTAGCTGTTCCAGCAAACTTACAATGGGAACAATTTTGTAGCAAGAAACAGACTCCTGTTCCGTAAAATGTAAATCCTAAGTTTAAAGTTAAAAAAAATTGGCTTCTGGCCAGAGAAGCCCCAAATTACTATAGGCTGTTTCTGATTCACACACTATACAGTGGGGCAAAAAAGTATTTAGTCAGCCACCAATTGTGCAAGTTCTCCCACTTAAAAAGAAAAGTGTGTGCCAGCCTTGTGAAGACGTACAGGACACTTTTGACCTCTGTCATTGCCAACAAAGGATATATAACAAAGTATTGAGATGACCTTTTGATATACCATATACTTATTTTCCACCATAATTTGCAAATTCGTTCCAAATCAGCCAATGTGATTTGTCTGGATTTGTTTTCTTATTTTGTCTCTCATAGTTGAGGTCTACCAATGATGCCAATTACAGGCCTCTCATCTTTTTAAGTGGGTGAACTTGCACAATTGGTGGCTGACTAAATACTTTTTTGCCCAACTGTACATGCGAATGCAGTATACATATTCGCCGATACTTTTTGTGCATTTTTTTTCTGGTGCGGTCAGTTATTCCTTCTTATGGCTGATACAGTAGTAAAGCAAGGATGAGGACAACAGCCCTAGAACATGCACCTTCAAAAAAACATGTAGTGCCTGATTAGATACTCAAAAGAATTGTTTAGAAAGACCTTCACATTACTTTTGATTTTGTCAATCTAAAGGTTAGATAGAAATTATACAATTCTGTTGTGATCTGTGTGGTCACCTTTATGCTGGCCATACACTTGGCAAGTTTGTGTCCATTTTGAAGCATTTCATGAGCTTACAGTTAATTTAAATGTCCAACAGCAATCCGCCCTGCATTTGATGATTTTTCATGTTTTGAGCATCCCAGCTATTAAAATTGTGCTAGAACTTGATCGAAAACGCCTTCACTGGCATTGCTTGATTCTTTGAAATCTGACATAATTGCTACAAGATATAGCTGGCATTCAACTAATTTCAATTCTTTTAGCTGGAAGTTGGCCACTCTGGCAGGCTGGAGAAAACAGAAGATCTTTGGTTAAAGGTTCGTAAAGAATATGCGCCACGTTTAGCCCGTCTGTCACTGGAGAGCAGATCTCTGCGGGATGTTTTGTTGCATGGTAAGAATCATTACTGGGGATATTTGGAAATACTGGCTTCATTTTTCAATTTAAAAGATATTTGAAAAAGGACTGACACATTGATATTTATTTTTTATTTCTTTGCTGAATTAAAATGCCTCTGGCATTTTTCTGCCATTTGGTAAGCCTTGAAAAAACTTTTAGAGTGGTCAGAATGTGCAAAACTCTTGGAAAACCGGAAACTACTTTCTGATCAAACTTGCAGATTAAGCCCACTGTCAGATAGCCATGTAACACAGCAGGCTGTTTCTTAGTGAATGCCTGAAAATGAGTTGCACCAGGACAGGAAGTGAGGGGAAATCTCTTCACAACATGGACACAGACTGCAATAAAATCGCTTTCTACCTTGTTCTACAAGTGTTACAAAAATTTGTTTTGGTTGCAGCCTCATTTTAGGACTCCTCCATACGATCCAGTAGAACCACATTCACTGTGTTACATGTCTTACCAAAACAGTTTGCAAGCTTTTTTTTTTTTTTAAACTCTTAATGCAAAGAAAATATACAGTTTCATGCAAACAAATTGGAAAATACATTAAAACAGTACATATAGAAAGCAAAGTACAAAGAACTGTTCTACAAATCAACTGACAAGTAAAAGGCAATTAAATAAATACATCTTACATGCTAGAATACAAATTGCATAAACTAGAGTAAAAACCGTAGATGCGAACAATGCATCACCACAAACCACCTCAATCTGAACCATTAGAACCTACAATATATATGCCCGACTCCATCCAAGTCCCCCAATGCTTGGCATGTTTCTTAGGGCAATTCCTATGTTGATATATCAATTTCTGAAATGAGACAATCTAATTTACCATCTGTATCCAGTGAGTGATCACAGGTACTCCGGGTTGCATCTACTTAAGAACTATGAGGGGAATTTATCAAAACTTGAGCAGAAAAAATCTGGAGCAGTTGCCCTTGGCAACCAATCAGCCTCTATTTTTCATTTTCAAAGCTTAACTGAACAGAGAAGCTGATTGGCTACTCTACGGGCAATTGCTCCAGATTCTGTCTGCTCCAGTTTTAATAAATTCCATCATATGAGTTTACTAGCCATAAATAAGGTTTAAGATCAGAATATCCTCTGATACCTCGTCCATTCCTCTTCATCCAACACTCCAAAAAACTGGTCTAGAGAGTATGGCTGGCAGTTTACCAATATTCAGAAACTCCAGGGCAATGCCACAATATGTGAAGAATATTTGCATTGGACTGATGGCACAGAGGACAAGTAGTTGTTGAAAGACATACCATTTTATATATCTCATCGGAGACAAATATGTTTGGCGTATAATAGAGTTGTATCATTTTATTGCTGGCTGGAGAGACTCTTAAATGAGAAGAGCATATATCTTCCCAGTTATCATCCGACATATTAATACTTAGCTTGTCTTAGCTCGATCTAACTGGTTGCAATCTCCCAATTCTCGTATGGAATAAATGAGCGTATAGCATGGAGATCAGGCCTTTTGGACATGTGATTTGAATCTATAAAAAGATACCCTAGGCCAGTGATGGCGAGCCTAGGTTCCGGTTACCGGGGCCCGCACATTCCAGGGTCTCACCTGGGGCACTCCGCGTCAGTCGCATTCAGTTTTTAAAGATGTCTGCTTCGAGTCGTGACGGCCATCTTTAAACCTGGCAGGTGCCCAGATCCTATTTCATATATTGCTAAACCGGCAATGTATGAATCACTTGCCGGCCGTTGTTATTAAATGTAGCTTCTTGAATGTAACAGGAGTTTATAAATGGCCAGCTAGCCCGCACACTCGTGCGCGCTGCACGCGCGGGAAACAACTTTTAAAACAGGTGCCGATGCCGGTTTTACATACAAGCAGTTCGGCAGCCCTGCAGAGGGAGATCCGCTCACAATTTCCCTCCGATCTCCTCTCTGGTGTCAGAATACAGGAAGAGATGTATATTGTATCACTTCCGCATTCTGCGGTCACTCTCCATTCTCCACTCTATTCCCTGATCACACTAAACCGATGAGTGGTAAAAGCTTTTAAAGCCTCACCTATGGCCAATTTGGGGTATGGTACTTTTTTTTTTGTGAGTTTTCAAGGGTGTGCGCAATTTTAAGGTACCCTCCTCGGAGCAGTTCAGAGGATTTTATTCACACCTGTTTACCGTTCCGAAGAAGGAGGGGATTCACCCCATCCTGGATCTCAATCCGATCAACACCTTCGTGCGTGTCCACAGGTTCTGGATGTAATCTATCTGATCCGTGGTGGTGTGTCTTCATCACGGGGATTTCATGTCCTCCATCGACATCAAGGATGCCTTCCTTCACATCCCCGTCTGTTCCTTCCATCAACGCTACCTTCGTTTTGCAGTGGGCGACGACCATTAACAGTTTGTCGCTCTACCCTTTGATCTGGCGTCGGCGCCTCGGGTTTTCACCAAGGTGCCAGCCCCGATCCTGGCATTGCTACGTTGCCGGGGAATCTCGGTTTTGGGGTACCTAGACGATCTTCTGCTGCAAGCAGAGTCACCCCTGCTGAAGTCACGCCCTTTGACGTAACGTACATAGGGTGGAGTAGAGGAGCTGAACGATTTGCACACAGTGTCTGTGGCTGCTTACCAAATACCTCAATTTTATCTATGATATGTGAGTAGTACTCCTTTTTTTTAATAAAGTCTAGTATCCTTTTAAAACCATCTGCACTACGAGTCTCCACTTTTTATTTTTTTTGATGCATGGGCCATTCGCATGAACTGTCTGCTTCCAATTCCTGAGACTGCAAGAGAGTCTGTACCTGAGAGGAGGTAATCACTGGGAGGTATTCGGCATCAGGTGCTTCCTCTACCTGTTTCGAATTAGAGGAACAGCGCATACAGACCCTGGTGGGTCTCTGCTAAAGGTGAGGTGCATTCCAGAAGATTTCTCTGTTGATGGTCACAGGAGACTAAGTTTATTCTACATCCAATGTTTTATCTTCTATTTACTTGGACTATTGAAGATCCAGGATCATGGACATTTTTTAACCATTTATTATTTTCACTGGAGTGCAAGTTACACACATGAGTTTTTCTTGTTGGTATTCTTTGCACATTGCATCACATTGATTCATAGTGAATACTTAGTGCATTTGATTTTTCATTATGGATATTTTGTAGCAATTACGTTTACACTAAGGTGCATGTTATATACATGCGTTTCTTTTTTGTTTTGCACTTTTTACACATTGTATCACATTACTCCAAGGTCAGTATCTACTATAAGGTCAGTATCTACTATATCTGACACTTTGCGGTCTCATTCACACAGCGCGGCTTTTACCATTCATTTCATACGCTATATCTGACCACACAGATTTCAGCTGCTGCTTAACTTGATTTAGAGTAGTGGCGCGAGGTTTCACATTATTCACATCCTTCTCTGGTGACGGACCTTGCTGTCACGGTGCGTGTGCTCATTGGAGTTCAGCTGGCTCCTGAACTTCCAGAAGTTGTCTGGTGCCATCCACTCGTCTGGAGTATCTGGGCCTGGTTTTGGACTCCACCCAGGCGAAGGTTTTCCTGCCCCTGGAGAAACTCCTAAAGTTTCACTCGCATGCGCGGTTGTTGCGATTGCGCCGGTGGTCGACGATCCGATCTAGCATGGGGGTTCTGGGTCTCATGGTGGCCTCCTTCGAGGCGGTACCTTACGTGCAGCACCACACACGGGTTCTTCAGGGGGACATCTTGTCGCAATGGAACAAGTCTCCCTTGTCCCTGGACAGGGCTCTTCGTGCATCGAGGGCCTCCCTGCCTTGGTGGCTTCGGTCTCCGCCTCTGGTGTTGGGCAAGTCCTTCCTTCCCCTCCGCTAGACAGTGGTCACCAAGGATGCCAGCCTTTGGGGCTGGGGGGGTCCTGGGCGTTTGGACGGCGCAGGGCTGTTGGCCGTCGGAGGAGTCCCGGCTCTCGATCAACGTGCTGGAGCTTCGGGCGATCCGTCTCTCCCTTTTGCACCGTCTCTGCCTTCGCTGGGGGACCCCGGATGTGGACCTCCTGGCATCTTGTCTCAATCGGCAGGTCGATCGGTTCACGGCCCGGGATCCTTGGGCGGACGCGTTTGACGCCCTGGTGGCTCCGTGGGACCGTTACGGTCTACTTTATGCGTTCCCTCCGTTTTACTTTTTTTCTGCGGCTTCTTCGCAGGATAGCGGCCAAAGGCATTCCCGTCATCCTCGTGGCTCCGGATTGGCCAAGAAGGGCATGGGACAAGGATGTGGTTTGGTTGGTAGCTGTGCCATACGTCTTCGCAGTCTCTGGCTTTGACGGCGTGGCTGTTGAAAGCCAGGTATTGAGGGACCACGGTCTCTTGGACGCAGTTATTTCCACGATGCTGAGAGCTCGTAAGGCCGTGTCCCGACGGATCTACCATTGCACGTGGAGGGCTTTATTTGCCTGGTGTGAGTCAGGTAGTTTTCCGCCTCGTGTGTTCTCTGTGAATAGGATTCTTGCCTTTTTTCAGCTTGGCGTGGATCAAGGTTTGACCTTGAGTACGATAAAGGGCCAGATCTCTGCCTTGACTATTCTTTTTCAGAAGCCCATCGCTTCCAGCGCCCTGGTTCGCACATACGTGCAGGGGGTTACACGTATTGCTCCGCATGTTCGGTCCCCGTTGCCGCCTTGGGATCTGAACTTGGCGTTTGCGGTTTTGCAGGAATCTCCTTTCGAACCTTTGCGTAAGATTCCTCTTCTTACTCTGTCTCCAAAGTTGGCCTTTTTGGTTGCGATCACCTCGTTCCGCAGGGTTTTTGGAGTTGGCGGCTCTCTTGCACTTCACCATCATGACAAGGTGGTTCTGCGTCCTCGGCTGTCCTTCAAACTTTCGCAACATGATTTCTCAGGCATATGCCATTAGGGGGCGTGAGCCTCCGTTTTCTGTGAAGGCCCATTCTACAAGGGCTATTGGGGCATCCTGGGCCTTTCGTCATGGTGCCTCGGTTTCTCAGGTTTGTAAGGCCGCTACTTGGTCTTCTGTTCACACCTTTGCCAAGTTTTATAAGGTGGTTGTTTTAGCATCCGCGAATGCTGGTTTGGGGTGCAAAGTGTTGCGGGTGGCCATTTGATGGGATAGTTTTTTCCGTTGGGTTTTTGTTTTGTTCTGCCCATCCCTCTTTTGGTACTGCGTCGCTACAGTACATGATCCTAGATCTGTTCCCTGTGTCCTTCAATGAGCGGAAGAGAAAATAGGATTTTGTACTCATCGTAAAATCCTTTTCTCTCCGTTCATTGAAGGACACAGGTCCCGCCCCTCTGTGTGGGTGTGTACTCCTAAGTGCTTGTTACTTACTGGAGACTTGTCAGCAGGTAGGGGGTTTGGCCACCGGCAGGGGCCGCCCCTAGGCTGTAATTGGTCTTTTTTATTTTTTGTGCCTCGCGTCCTTCTCCTGCAGGTGGCGATATAACCCTACAGCACACGATCCTAGATCTGTTCCCTGTGTCCTTCAATGAACGGGGAGAAAAGGATTTTACGGTGAGTACAAAATCCAATTTTTTTTCCACTTAACGTTATTATCTCATTCGGGGCTAAGAAATCCTCTGTGATAGCAAAGAGATGTGACAGGTCCTCTTTATGGAGACATTAGGGGTCTCCAAGACCCCTAATGTCACCTAGGGAGCCCTAAAGAAGCTGATGAAACAGAGATCTGAAGCTGGAGAGACACAAGAATGCGGAAGTGATGTAATCTACATCATTTCTGCATTCTGACAGCGGAGAGGGGGCGGAGGGAGATCGTGTACCGATCTCCCTCTGATCCTCTGTCACACTCTCACCGGGCACAGCGGAGCTCAAGGGGGAATTGTGCACCGATCGGCACCTTATACAAGCGATCCGCTGGCTCTATAGCCGGGGGATCGCTTATATGTAAACTGGCATCGCTGCCTGTTTTTAAATTTGGGCAGTTTCTTGCTCGTGTGTGGCCAACAGGACGTCATTTGACGGCCTGTTACATCCAGGAAGCTGCCGGCTGGGAGCCGGTTAATGATTGTGAAATGTGTGTGTTTTTTTGATGTGGGTGTTATATTGAGTATATAAATGTTTGAATATATGCGATTCCCCATTTTGCCTAAGGCAGTGATGCTGAATGTTTGTTTGGTTTTTTAAACCCCAGTGGCCAAACTAAAACGCACTACCAAACTTATTTTCAGTGTTGGCCCTTTCAGATGAACTGATTTTGCATTGCAGTTTGGGCATTCGGGTTGAAAACATGTTAGCCATCACTACCCTAGGCACTTCAAATCGAAGTTGCAGTTGGTCAAATGAACAGAAATGATCATCTGAGAATACATCGGATAAAACGTTTATATTCTTCCTCTGCCAATAGACAACATTCATTAGCTTACAAAGTTCGGGAAACATCGCATTATTCCAAATAGTGAGCTCACTTGGAGTATCAGTATATGCTAATAATTTCTTAACTCTCTGCCCCACACCTCTAGCCAAAACAAGAATTAGAGGGGATATCCTCGGTGACAAAGTAAGAGCCTTATTAAGCCTTAGTAATATAAGCCAGGTGAGCATCAACAGTAGATGGAATCTTTGGTAGACACCAGTGTTTTACATGTTGAAGCTGGTCAGCTAAATAATAAGGATGGAAATCCGGGAGCACCATACCCGCCTCCATTTTAGGTCTTTGTAAAGTGGATAACTTAAACTTCCGTCTGGTATTATGCCAAATAAAATATGAAAACCCTGAATCCACCTCTTTAAAAGACACCTTCACAAGCTTTACAGTTTCTTGTCATAATTTATGTGCAGTAACTGGTTTTTGTTAAGTCAAATACAGATTTACTGTATGTGTGTATATGCCTTCTTTATGCCTTCTTTATGCCTTCACTCCCAACACTGATTTTGCATGCACCCGTAAATCTGCCCACCATGAATGCACCCACAGTTTGCCACTGTGCTAAACCCCTGTTCTCAGCACTGCACCTTTTGTGATATTCCACTCACCACTGCCGCCACACTAATCCTGCCCTCCTCGGCCAAATGCCTCACCCGCTGCTTACATTCATCCCTTCCTGAAGACCTCTCATTCTGCTCACGTCCATTCCTGCCCGGCCGTCTTCCTCTTCCCACCTGGAAAGACACATCACCCACCTACTGACATTCATTTACCAACACTAATGATTATTACACTTTGATTATTAAACTATTTGTAATATCCCCAGCTTTGCTAGTTCTGTGTGTATGTGTATATATTTATATTTTATCATTTTTTTTGTTCTTTCTTTCAGGAAAACCAAAGCTGGGCCGTGAGCTAGGAAGGGGCCAGTATGGTGTGGTTTATCTATGCGACAGCTGGGGTGGGCACTTTCCTTGTGCTTTGAAATCTGTGGTACCTCCAGATGATAAACATTGGAATGATCTTGCTCTTGAATTTCACTACATGAGGTGACTACCAAAAGAAAGCTTGACTACCACTGTTCACTCCTATAATATGTTGACATTTAAGTCACAGGTTACCAAAAAAAATATAAGGAAGAAAAAAGCTTCTCATCACTCTAACTTCCCAACACTACTTTATCACTCAGCAGAACATGTAGTGGCAATTTGTTAGTGTATTTGCAGTTGTGTAAAAAGAAAGTACACACTCTTTGAACTATATGGCTTTAAGTATCAGGACATAATACAAATCATCTGGTCCTTAGCAGGTCTTTGAGGTTGAATTTACCCAATTCGGATGAACAACAACACATGACATATCACACAGTGTTATGTATTTTGCAAACATGAAGCCAAAATGGAGAAGCCATGTGGGGAAAAACAAAGTACACCTTTTGCTTCAATAGCTTGTAGAACCACCTTTAGCAGCAATAACTTGAAGTAATCATTTTCTGTATGAATTTACACCTTGTGGAGGAGTTCTGACCCACTCTTTACAATGTTGCTTTATTTCATTGTGGTTTGTGGGTATTTGTTTCTGCACAGCTCTCTTAAAGTCCCACCACAGCATTTCAATCGGGTTGATTGCATAAATGTGCATTTATATCACTATTGAAGTATGTTAAACTTGTTATACATATGATAACATCATAACTACCAAATACAATATAGGTTCCAAATGTCACCAAAGTCAGCGGCCATTTTGAATTTGAAAAAAAAAAAGATTAATTCATGAAATCATGTCCTGCTATTTATCTCTGTAACTACATTAACGTCTCATGTGCTATAACCGGCTCTGATGTGTGGCCACCTTTTATTGCTGCTTGCAGTTATATTTTTTTTATTATTATTCCGCCGCTTTTTTCAAATGTCTGTTACACGTGATCTGTAAGCCAAAAACTCATGAAACTTTGCACAATGGTACAGCCCTTTGCTCTGCAGAGCTGCTTATAATATAAAGGTCATAGGTCACATGATGCAGCAGCCATTTTGATTTTTGTGACGATTTTTTGAACTATTCACAAACTTGCATCTGCAGAACCGCTAAAGCTACAGATGTGCAACCTGCTCTGCTTTGTTATGCTTTGCTCTGTTGCCACATGTGTTCATTATAGCTCTATTGGTCACAGTATACTGAGACCGCCACAGCCGGGACGGATCCCGACATTACTGTCTGGATCCACTCAGCTGCGTGATTGACAGCTGGCTCTGCCTATCTAGATGCAGAGCCAACTGTACCCGTCCGTTCCGCCAGTCAGCGCTGGAGGATCGGACAGGGGAGTGGGGGTGGAATCCCTGCAGGGACCCGTGAGTGACAGCCACGGCTCTCTGCAGGGACAGGATCCAGAAGTGAGCGAGCGATGGTATGCGTTCGCTCACTTCCCGATCTATTGAGCCTACGTTTGAGCGTTTCATTGTCACCGAACTCCGTCCCACACCTTCAGGGAGTGTTTAAGGATTGGGCTGAGAGTAGTAGGGCGATCGGTCTGGGATAGCCATAGCAGGAACGTGAGGGGCAGGGGATGACAGTCCTCCATGTCCAAACACGCCCAAAGCGGGAGCTCGGCGTTGAGTGTAAGAGGGCTAGGGGGGCAATGGTGGCAGCGGTATAGTATGTGCAAAGATCAGGAACTGCCAGACCGCCACAAAGCTTGGGGCGATATAGCAGTTTTCGGTTGAGTCGGGGACGGGAGTTGCCCCAGATGAACGCGAGTATCCTGCGTTGGAGAATGCGGAAGATATGGCCAGGGATGGGAATCGGCAGGGTCCGAAACACGTAGAGCAACTTAGGCAGGAAGGTCATCTTCACTGCATGGATCCTCCCTATCCATGAGATGGGAAATCTCTGCCAGGAGACCAGTAAATTAGTGAGAGATTTCAGAAGGGGGGGGATGTTGGCGTCGTATAGAGTGTCATAGGTCGGGGTCAGGCGAATGCCCAAGTATTTTAGAGATGGAGTCCAGGTAAACGGGAAGGAGAGCTTGAGTGTGGCTAGTGTTGCGGGCGTCAAGGAGACATTAAGAGCTTGGGATTTGGATTGGTTGACCTTTAGGTCCGAGATGAGTGCGAAGTCTGAGAGTGCCTTAAAGAGATTCGGGAGGGAGAGGAAGGGATTAGTCAGAGACAGGAGGACATCATCAGCGAAGAGGGATATTTTGTGGTGAGTTCCCGCCACCTCAAGGCCCTGAATATCAGGGTTGGTTCTAATGTATTCTGCCAATGGCTCAAGGGCGAGGGCAAAAAGGATGGGCGATAGGGGACAACCTTGGCGGGTGCCGCGCGCTATCGGGAACAGGGATGATTCAAAGCCACAGTACTTAAGCTTGGCCTGGGGTGAGGCATAGAGGGCCGCGACCCAGGAGATAAAGTGGGAACCAAAGCCCCAGTGACGGAGAACCTCAAAGAGGTACGGCCAAGAGAGCATGTCGAAGGCCTTGGAAATATCCAAGGTCAGCAACATCATCTCCCTGGAGCGTAATTTGGCTAAATGCATCAAGTGTAGGGCTTGTCGGACCCCGTCTCCGGCCTGTCTGGATGGCATGAAACCCACTTGATCTTTTTTGATTAGGGACCCTAAAAATTGGTTAAGACGGGAAGTGAGAATTTTAGAGAGGATTTTAACATCCACATTTATTAAGGAAATGGGGCCGTAGTTGGTCCAGGAGTGGGGATCTATCTGGCTTGGGTATCATCACAACATTCGCTGTGAGCATGTGTGGGGATATGGAGTGGCCCTTCAGGAGACCATTAAAGAGGGAGGCCAAGTGGGGGGATAAATCTTCTGACAGTTTTTTATAGAAAAGGGTGGGGAATCCGTCCGGTCCCGGAAGTTTCCCCGTTTTGAAGGCCTTAATGGCCTGTTGGACTTCAATGGCAGATTCCATGAGGTCCCTACCTGTTTGTGGGATATCTGGGAGGGTAATTCGGGAGAGAAATTCACGGATAGTATCGAGGGAGGAGGCGGAGGGAGTTGAGTAAATCTTGGAGAGATGATGGCGAAATTCAGATAAGATTTTTGTGGGGTCACTGGTGCGGGTGGTCAGTCTGGTGCGGAGGGAGATTGGGGTCGGGACACTATCAAGCGTCCGCAGGCGCTTGGCTAGCATAGAGTCGGGTCTGTTGCCTTTCGCATAGAATTTCTGTTTCGTCCAGCGTAGGGAGCGTTCGGCCTTGTCCGTGAGGCAAAGGTCAAGTGCAGCCCGCGTCGACGCTAGTAATGTACGGTTAGCGGTTGTGGGATCGGACTTAAAGGCCCTCGACCTCTGGTCCAATTCTGTATCGAGACTTTGAATGCGCTGGTTGCGATCCCGCTTCCGTTTAGACGCTATTTGAATCAGGTGACCACGTATGACCGACTTATAGGCTTCCCATACGGTCGATTCAGAGGGGACCGATCCCTCGTTAAGCTGAAAGTAGTCAAGGGTACGCATGCGGACTTCCGCGAGTATGTCGGATAGCGAGAACAGCGATTCATTTAAGGACCAAGAGGGCGAGGGGGGCGTGCTTAGGACGGAGGAGCATACTATGAGCACTGCATCATGATCCGACCAGGGTATAGGGAGGATGTGAGAGGAGGAGGCTAGAGAGAGGGAGCGCCGCTGGAGAAAGGCATGGTCAATACGGGAGTGGGAACGATGGGGGTTGGAGTAAAAAGTGTAGTCTCTCCCTATGGGGTGGTGATCACGCCACACATCCACTAGGTTATGTTGGAGAAGCAATTGTTGGAAGCATTGGCTGTGGGGGGCTTGCGTCATGGGACCTGGGGGGTATTTATCTAGTTGAGCATGTAGAATCAGATTGGAGTCCCCACATAGGAAGAGGGTACCCTGCGCATGCGCTACAAGCAAAGAGCAAAGGTGAGTGAGAAAAGGAATTGGGTTGGAATTAGGCGCATAATAGGTGAGAACCGTGATGTCAGTATCATTCAGTCTGCCCGTCAAGAGAAGGTATCGCCCCTCCGGGTCTGCTATCTGCTTAGTGCAAACAAAATTCGCAGTTTTACGGAAAGCTATGAGGACACCGCAGGTTTTCGTGGAGGCATTGGCTTGATATACGGATGGGAAGAAAGCATCAAAATACTTGGGAGCACTGGAGGACGAGAAATGCGTTTCTTGAAAGCATGCCATGTCGATGTGACGGCTGCGTAGGTAGCGAAAGGCTTTCGTCCGTTTCTGAGGTGAGTTGAGGCCTTGCACATTCAGGGAGAGCCAGCGGAGCGGCATTGTGCCTTTTGGGACCGGTGGCCTAAATGGGGGCTCTGTACTTCAGGGAAATGAGGGTGGGAAGGGGGAGGGGGGGGGGGTTTGACAACAAGACACACGCGGGAAAGAGGGATCAGGGAGAAGGGCGGGTGGGGACGGGAGGGAGGAGAAGGAGAGGAGGAAAGGAAGGGATGAGGAGGTATGAGGGCGCAGTGGAGAGGAAGGGGGAATGCTAGTTAGTGTACCAGCCGGTACACTATACAAGGGTTCAAGGCCGGAGACTACCGGTACAGAGAACCAGGAAGGAGGCACAGGGAACCACCCGGGCAGGGAATTCCCTAATCAGGAGCTAGATGGGCACCATACAGAAAATATGATAAGGAGGAGGGGGAAAGAAGGATAGGACATTGGTCGACAGCTCGGCCCTCCCCAAGTTCAAACAAGGCAGGAAGACCGAGGTAACAAGCAAGTGCCTGGGGCGGTGGGGACAGTAATGCATACAACAACAGCTTAGAGCACACCACGGAATGGATACCGGGAGAGGGAGTAGGGTGGTGCAAAGGAGGCACCGCCAAAACAATAGCTCCCGGGATCCATGACGCAGGCATCGACATAAGAGGCATGGGGTAAACCTGGAAACAAAGTCTCAACATAGTTGTTATCAAAACGGAGTACACTAATAGGGTAAAGATAGATCATACCGACCAGGTCTTGGAGTGCGGTGGACTGGTGTACATCACCCGGACATATCTGGGGCTCAGGTATACCACATGCCTAAAAGTGACCCACAATTACAGGGAACAGTTAGAGCAAAAGAGTCATGTCCATATTAGGTAACAAAACTAGGGAATGGATGCCGGGAGAGAGGTAGTGGGGCACTCCAGGCAAAAGTGCCTAAAGAGGGCTCCCGGGATCCATCACACCCGTAAAAATACAAAAGGCAGAAAAAAAAAAAAAAAAACTTTTGAAAAATCTGAAAATAAGAAGTCAGCAGTAAGGCACACATAACAATTCCTGCCGCCATGTGGGGTAAACCCTACCAACTCGGTCTAGGCATGGAACAAGGTGCAGTCAGTTGAGACGGAGTCTCTTTGAAGTGACAGCGGACTGGGGGGTGCAAATCAACCATCCCCAACATGTTGGAAAGCATCGGCTTTCAGGTGGCGAGGAATCCTGGACGGCGTCAAGGGGGAACGTTGCGCTCCTGGCGGTTCCGAGGTCGAAGGGGAGCGGGGCGGTAATGGTAGCGTAGCCTGAAGAGGGAGAACGGGGCGGCGGGGGGGTTCCTCCGGCGGAACTGCGAAGCCCAATTCCTGGAAAAGAGTACGGAGATCCGTGGCCGTCGCGGCTTGATAGGGGGCATCTCGATATGTGAAGAAAACCTTGAAGGGGAATCCCCAGCGGTAGCGGACATTCATGGACTTCAGGGACAGCAGGTATGGTTTCAAGGCACGTCGTTTCGCCAACGTAGCGGGGGATAGGTCCGAGTGGACCTGTAAGTCATAGCCCTGAAAGGAGAGGGGGGCTTTGTCGCGGGCCGCCTGCAGGACTCTTTCTTTGGAGCGGAAATGTTGGAACTTGAGGACCACATCCCTCGGAGGACCGTCGGGCCGCGGCCTAGCTAGCGCGCGGTGTACACGGTCCAACTCCAATCGATTTAAGGGGAGATCCGGCACCAATTCCTGGAAGAAGGCCGTCATGGAACCATGGAGGTCAGTGACAGTCTCCGGAAGGCCCCGGATGCGGACATTACTCCGACGGGGCTTATTTTCAGAGTCCTCCTGTTTGTCCTTGAGCTGCTCCAGTTCGTCCCGGAGTGCCACCAATTCCCGTTCGTGGTCCGTCCGAGACTAGGGTGGCATCAATGCGATGCTCGATAGCGGTGGTTCTGCGGCCTACATCTCTAATCTCGCGGAGCAAGTCGGTGGAGAGCTTGCGGGAGGCCGCCGAGATTTCTTCCCGGACTATGCCGCGGAAGCGGGCGAGCATCTGCGAGTCCCCTTCGGGATCCTGGGAGCGGAGAGCTAGCGGGGTGCGGGGCCACGGGTCCGCTTGTGACACCGGGCCGTCACCTACCGAGTGCCGACTGTCCGAGGTGGAGAGTGGATCGGGCGCCCTTTTGGAAGGCCGCCTCGCGGTCTCCACAGTGCGCTCCGATTTTCGGGTTTGCTGGGGTTTGTCCGTTTTCCCCATCGGGTGAATGGGTGCCGGAGGTCCACGTCTGACTCCCGGTAAGCAAGGGTGAGCTGCTGGTGCCGGCGGGAGAACGGTAGCAGAGGGAGATTGCCCGGGTGGAGCGGAGGTGATCTAAAACGCGGCCATCTTAGATCCCTGCGCGCATGCGCCTTCTATGTTAATTTTCACAGCTGAAAATCTGAAATATTTTGCTTGAAATGCCCAAGAACCACAGTTACCAATATTTAGAGATCTGTGATTTCGTAGTTATACAACTAATTAGATTGGATTGTTGGGTTAAGTCCACCCTGATCTAATATTTCAGTTCTTCTGCCTTTCAGGGACTCTGGTGGTGAGATCTATCGTATTTTGCGGTCCATAAGACGCACCGGGCCATAGGACGCAGGGAGGTCCGGCGCGCTTTATGGAGCACTCGACAGACTGTAGCTTCTGTCACAGCTTCTATGACAAAAGCTGTGACAGAAGCTGCAGTTAGTGACCGCTGAGACAGGTGGCGCTGTGATTACAGCGCCACGGTCTCAGTGATCACACAGAGCAGACGAAGAACGTCCGTTCTTCGTCTGCTCTATGGTGATCTCGATCGTCGCCGCTGCTCGGTTTTAATACGAGTGATCTCATTAGATCACTCATATTAAACGAGCAGTGGCTCCTACTGCTGAACTCGATCGCCGCCGCCGCTGCTCGGCTTTAATACGAGTGATCTCATTAGATCACTCGTATTAAACGAGCAGTGGCTCCTACTACTCGCCCGGCGCCCGAAACTGCATGTCTCGGGCGTCGGGATTCGCTCCATAAGACGCAGGCACATTTCCCCCCCCTTTTGGGGGGAAAAAAGTGCGTCTTATGGAGCGAAAAATACGGTATATAACCCTGCCAACCTACTATGGCAGGTATGAGGTAGTCCTGTTTGTATATAGAAAACTTGTTGTTTACTTTGTGTTTTATATATTACATAGCCTTCTGGCCTTCCAGATTCCACATAACAGAAATATTCCTTTTGAGTTGGCTGACTTTTTATGCAGTGCTCCACAAAGTTGAGTTTGAAGGAGAATGCTTTGTTTAATGAAGGTGATGGTAAACAAAATTATAACTATTTTCAAGCTCTGGTTTTTAAGAATAAAGTTCAATTAAAGTAGAATTAAGCTTTTTTTTTGCTTATATCTACTGCTAGAAGGCAATAGATGTATGGAAAAAAATGAATAATATTTTTTACTTCACTTTGTCTCCGCCGCTCGCGCTTGTCTGAAGGTCTATAGATTCTCCAGCTGCCGCAAAGGATCATGGGTTGGGGGCATGCGCAGTATAGATCTTTGGCTGGGAGAAGAGGAAAGACACAGTGTAAATCAATGCATGTAGCTCGCACGTGCACAGACACCGTGGGACACAGCAGTCAGCGCTGCATCAGAGACCTGCACCAGCGCTGGAGGGACTCCTGAAAACTACTGGAAAGAAGATCGGATCAAGAGGCATAATTTAAGGCAAGTCCTTAAAGCAGCATGGGGGGTGAATGTGACTTTAATGTCACTTTTTAAGTTTTTGGATTCTGGTGATCATTGCCTGGTCTGCTCCTTTTTTCCTTTGTTTTTAATTGGTGCAATTATGCCCTTATAGGTCACTGCCTAAACATGAGCGATTGGTTGATTTGCATGGCTCTGTGATTGATTACAATTATGGAGGAGGCTCTAGCATTGCGGTCCTTCTAATCACAGAACGTCTTCATAGAGATCTTTATGCAGGACTTAAGGTAAGCATGTTTTGTTTCTGGTATGTTAACACCAGTAGATGTTGTCGGTGTATAAACGTTAAGGTTTTTTTTTGTGTTAACCTGGGTCATCAGGATTTTAGGGAGATGCCGTCGCCAACCATCTGTTATCTAAAACAAATGTATTGAATTTGTGTGTTTTAACATGGGAACATTAGAGCAATGTGGTTGATATGGTGCTCTATGCATGTATTTGTTTATTTTGTTTGAACCAGTAAAATTTTTGTCTCTGGGGAACTTGCCATTTTAGAACACTAGACATTGTGTGCTTCTGGGCATGCCCAGCAATCCGCACATGAGTTTTGTATGCTGGTGCCTGGTAAATAAGCAAGCCTATACAGACTTGGACAAATTTGTTGATGCCATTCCACAAAATAAAAATTAACTTGAAACTGACCAATGTAATTAGCATCCACCATCGTTTATTCCATAATAAATAATCTTACTTTGCTTTTGAGGATTGATTCAACAGAATATTTTAAATAATAAAACAAAACTAAATGACAATGTATGGCACCATATTATTGCCTAATATTTTGTTGCACAGCCTTTTTAAAGGCAATTACTGAAAACAAGCGATTTCGGCAGCTATCAATTAAACATTTTGGTCCACTATTTCTTGAGTAAACTGCTCTATCTGCCTCAGGTTTAAGAGTTGCCTTCTCCAGACTGCATATTTCAGCGATTTTTTATTTTTTTTATTTTTTTTTCCATAAATTTTTGATTGGATTCAGTTCAGGTCTGAAGGTACTTCAGAATAGGCCAATATCTATTTTCACACTTTCTTTGCTTTACTCTGACATGCATACAGGAATACATGGACAATTGTTTTTATTGTCCTCTTTTTAGGCAGAATGAAGCATTGTTTCAATGTACTGTAAGGATACGAACAGCTTTGTCCATGTCTGTATACAACACTGTAGTGTACAAGGTATTTAAAAAATTTTTTTTATCTCTTCTAACTTGATGTGCATTTAATTGCGTAGCGAGCTAGTCATTTTTATTTTATTTTTTTAACCGTTTTTTTGTTTGGCGTTTATTATCCCCAGCATAGTAGGATGGCATTGTATGCATTCAACATGGTTAGGTTCATGCATTACATTAATGCATGCGAGTGAATATTTGCTAGCACACTACTCAAACATTTCTTTTATCCCTGCTCTTATGTTTTAATTAGCAAATCTGCCTTAATGTGTAAAAAAAAAAAATCTTACAACACCTTCCTTTTAATCTGGGGGTCAGCAACCTCGGCACCCCCGCTGTGTTCACCCTACAATCATCATTATCATCCTACATCATTTATCTTCCTCTGGCAGTCTTGTGGTGCCTCTTGAAACTGTAGTTTTAACACAGCTGGAGTTTTGCGGTTGCCTACACCTGCTCTAGTCTGTAAATCTCAATTGAAGAAGTTAACCGACTATAAAGTTTGAAAATGCATGCCCATGGGACATTTAATACCGTTTCTAGCAGACCAAAGAGCTATGTATTTCTACTTTTCAAGTTTTAGTCAACAGGGGAACATTAGATTTGCCTTAAATCTAAACCTCTTGAACCAGATTCGCAGTTACAAGGACTTCAAGGAGAAGACGATGCCCTTCTCAAGAATTATGGTTTTATGGTTAATGTGGTTTTTTTGGGGGGGGGTTTCTGGGCTATCAGAGATTTAGGGCCTGTTCACATGATTTTTAGGTGCGGATCTGCAGACCCGGTCCTATTTGTTCCAGTTAAAAAAAAACTTTTGCAGGAGTGGGGCTGTCAGTATGTTGGCTGCAGTGCGTTTTTGACGCGTTTTGCGTTTCCGGACCGTTTCCTGACCGGACAAAATGTAACATGCAGTATTTTTTCTGTTGTAACCTGAACTGACTGCTCACGTGAGAACTGTAGCCCATAAAACACATTGTGATGCATTTTTAGTGCAGGAGCGTACGGATCAGGTCAGCACAGAAAACATACGTCGTGTGAACAGGCCCTTACTGAGAGTTCTTGTTCCCGTGAGGTTAGCATATGACTGCTTTACTGCACTGCTCCTTGACTCACCCACATCTTTATCAACACAAGGGAGTGGAGTTGTTTCACGCTTTCATAAAGAGAGTTCTTTTTTTGTACTGTGCATGGGTAATATGTTTATTATGAAGTAGATATCATGATTGGTTTGCGGAAAAAAAATCTTGCTGGTATATTTTCAAAGCAAAACAACTTCGTTGTGTACTGACCAATAGATGCTGGAAGATTAGTGGATCCTTCAAATGTGGTATGGTCCCATTTAATTCTGTAGTCCACTGCCTTAGTCTTTTCTTACAGGTGCCAACACTGTCCATTCTACTGTGAAATTGCAAAGCAGCATTGCCACCCTTAAAACAGATTTACCAACACTCATTGACATTCATTGTATTGTGTTTCCTTTGATTTCAATGATCAGTCAAAAACATACAGTATCTCACAGAAGTGAGTACACCCCTCACATTTTTGTAAATATTTTATTATATAATTTCATGTGACAACACAGAAGAAATTACACTTTGCTACAATGTAAAGTAGTGAGTGTACAGCTTGTATCGGTGTACATTTGTTGTCCCGTCAAAATAACTCAACACACAGCCATTAATGTCTAAACCGCTGGCAACAAAAGTGAGTACACCCCTAAGTGAGAATGTCCAAATTGGGCCCAATTAGCCATTTTCCCTCCCCGGTGTCATGTGACTCGTTAGTGTTACAAGGTCTCAGGTGTGTTAAATTTGGTGTTATCGCTCTCACTCTCTCATACTGGTCACTGGAAGTTCAACATGGCACCTCATGGCAAAAAAATTTCTGCGGATCTGAAAAAAAAGAATTGTTGCTCTACATAAAGATGGCCTAGGCTATACGAAGATTGCCAAGACCCTGAAACTGAGCTGCAGCACGGTGGCCAAGACCATTCAGCGGTTTAACAGGACAGGTTCCAATCAGAACAGGCCTCGCCATGGTCGACCAAAGAAGTTGAGTGCACATGCTCAGAATCATATACAGAGGTTGTCTTTGAGAAATAGACTTATGAGTGCAGCCAGCATTGCTGCAGAGGTTGAAGGGGTGGGTGGTTAGCCTGTCAATGCTCAGACCATACGCCGCACACTGCATCAAATTGGTCTGCATGGCTGTCATCCCAGAAGTAAGCCTCTTCTAAAGATGATGCACAAGAAAGCCCACAAACAGTTTGCTGTAGACAAGCAGACTACGGACATGGATTACTGGAACCATGTCCTGTGGTCTGATGAGACCAAGATAAACTTATTTGGTTCAGATGGTGTCAAGCGTATGTGGCGGCAACCAGGTTAGGAGTACAAAGACAAGTGTGTCTTGCCTACAGTCAAGCATGGTGGTGGGAGTGTCATGGTCTGGGGCTGCATGAGTGCTGCCGCCACTGGGGAGCTACTGTTCATTGAGGGAACCTTGAATGCCAACATGTACTGTGAAATACTGAAGCAGAGCATGATCCCCTACCTTCGGAGACTGGGCCGCAACATAACGACCCCACACACACCTACAAGACGACCACTGCCTTGCTAAAGAAGCTGAGGGAAGAGGTGATGGACTGGCCAAGCATTTTTTTCAATTTATTTATTCAATTATCTAATAAAGGACCTTGCTGTTTGCACTTAGATCTGTCTCTCTCTTGTGGTTTCCACTTTTCTCCCTTGGCTGGACAGCCCGGCGTTGCCCCTAATCACACCTGGAGGGTGTCCGACGCCGCCATCGAGTCAAAGTGCTGCTTGACCGAAGGAGAGAGATGAGAATAAAGGCCCCGCAGATTCATTGACTGAACAAAAGTAATAGACATCTGACTTACTATTTTTAGTATTTTTTACGATTGAAAGAACTTTGCTTAACCTCATTTTCGTTTTTAAACTAGGACACCGCTGATTGATGATTGAGGCCGATTTATAGTGGTCTCACTTAAACGACTGAAAATGGCTTAATATTATAGTATATTATATTCCATTTAGAATTTATAGAAAGTTTCCATCTACCTAGGCCATTACTATCTTCAGTACTTTGGGTTGAACAGCTGAATTTTGTTTCACTTATTTGTAAATAACGAATCACGATACGAGTACCAATATTTTTATATAAAAAGCATTGCCTTCACTAAGGATAATTAAGACATTCACGATACACAGGGGGTCACGAACAATAGGTTAATACCTAATACCAAGCGCAACATACTGGCTCACATTGACTGGCCAAGCATGTCTCCAGACCTAAACCCTATTGAGCATCTGTGCGGCATCCTCAAATGGAAGGTCTCTAACATCCACCAACTCTGTGATGTTGTCATGGTTGGGAAGAGGACTCCAGTGGCAACCTGTGAAGCTCTGGTGAACTCCATGCCCAAGAGGGTCAAGGCTGTGCTGGAAAATAATGGTGGCCACACAAAATATTGACACTTTGGGCCCAATTTGGACATTTTCACTTAGGGGTGTACTCGCTTTTGTTTCCAGCGGTTTAGACATTAAGGGCTGTGTGTGGAGTTATTTTGAGGGGACAGCAAATGTACACTGATATACAAGCTGTACACTCACTACTTTACATTGTAGCAAAGTGTAATTTCTTCTGTGTCGTCACATGAAATTATATAATAAAATATTTACAAAAATGTGAGGGGTGTACTCACTTCTGTGAGATACTGTAGGTTGTGAATACAGTCTAGGCAGTGACTCCTGAGCTTGCAGCAGTGTTGGGTTACTGTGCATTTTATAGAATTTTAGTTTCGAAAGATGACAGAATAACAGCCACTCTAAGGAAAATGTTTTAATTCTTTAAGCTTGTGATGAGGTGTTTCTCAGTTGTACTGTGATTTTGGTTGTGGAAGTTATTTAGATTAGATTAAAGCTGAACTACAGGCATGAGTATGTTGAATATAGTTTTGCCTAGGGGGATAGGAATAACTGATATATTTGCCTTATTCCCCGTGTGACTTCAGGAGACTGGTCTTATGAAGAGGAGCAAGCCTGCAGGGGTGAGGAATAAGGTAAGTATTGAACCTTATTTGTAACCTCCTACACAAAACAGACAATTAACTCTTGCAGTGTGGAGGGGACCCCACTGCAAGGGTAACTTTTTTTTTTCCTCCAGTCTAGAGTTTATCTTGTAAAATGTTGTTTAACTTTTTTTGTATGATATTCAAAAGCAGAAAGACACCACAGTAGTAATTCCAGATTTAAATTTTGCATAGCATTAATGAGCACTCGTGTTTTTAAAAAAAAAACAGGTTGCACTTCTCTTGAGTTTATTGGGAAAATATGATTTAAGTAATATCCATTTAAATGTATAAGTGACTGTACAAGCTGCTAATCAAGCTTCCATTGTCTTCTAGACTGGCCTTTGTTTAGAAGAACGGTTACAAATTGGTTTAGATGTGGTGGAAGGCATCCGTTTCCTGCACAGTCAGGGCCTGGTCCATAGAGACATAAAACTGAAGAATGTTCTGGTGAGAATGAAGTAACAGTAACTACTCAATGATGTTAAAGGACTTTGACTGTTTACTATAATCTGCGTACACTTGTTTTAAAGCCCCCTCCACAAAGCTCTTAATGAATGCTCTTCTAACCAGTCTTATATGTATAAGTTGTATAAACCTTGTGCTCCCCTGGCAGTGCCCTTGAGGCCCAATTGCCAAATACTGTTGATTTTAGCTGTTGCAACATGTTGGACATCTACATGGGGACCTGTAGTTCATTGAGGTTGACCTTGTAATGCAGCATGCCTTTCTACATATTCCAGGTGTATTCTTAAATTTGACAGCGCTAGGGCTAATTTCATCTGCGGTAGCTGTTCTGCAGTGCCAGATTTGCCTGCCTTTAGCCCTCCTCATCTGGGTCTCCCTCACTCTCTATGGAGACCCCCTCATACTCTCCAACCCAGTATTCCTTTTATTTGGCGATAACAGGTTTTGTTTTGTGGATGATATAGTTGCTGATGAGGCCAAAGCACAAATCACCTAGAAAGCATCCGCCACCCTTTCCAGCTTCCCTGATTCGGGCCTGGAGTACCCTACTGCCCCAAACCTTGTTTCTGGAGATAAGTTTGGATTGTGACTTGTCTCGCTCTGTGAGTGAGGATGGAGTCCTCACCTATCCTTCTACTGCAGAAGGAATTTGTTTCAGCGTTAGTGAAATTTCAAAGTGGAAGTCTCACTCACCCAGGAGAAAGAGTCTGCTTTGGCACTTGCTATGCACAAGCCCAAGAGTTTGACTCTGGTATTCCTGTGCTATGCTTTCTTTGAACTCGTTTATAAAGAATGGTTTACTATTAACAGTTTGCGGAGGACTCGGTCAAGCAATGGATTTCCCCACTTGTGGTGGATTTCCCTGGGTACCCACTGAATAAAGCTATTGTTATTACTGTGGAGGAATCCCCTTACTTTGAAGATCCTCTTACTTTGACAGACAGGAGAGAGAGCGAGGAAAGACAGCCAGGAAAGAGAGCGAGGAGAGGCAGCCAGAAAAGAGAGAGGGGAGAGAGAGCGAGGAGAGACAGCCAAGAGAGCAAAGAAAGACAGCGAGGAGAAAAAACGAGGAATGACAGCCAGGACAGAGAGAGCGAGGAAAAACAGACAGGATAGAGAGGAGCGGCAGCCGGGAGAGCGAGGGAGTTTTTTTTTTTTCGTTGTTAGATCTCATGTAGCTCGTCATTTGAAAAGTAGATCTTAACAAAAAAATTGTGGGCACCTCTGGTTTAAGCAGACTTTTGCCGCCCGGACTCTGTTTAAACTTGTAAAGCGGACTGTCGGCTTTACAATAGAAGCGATTCTGGCGACTCAGCTGTCGCCAGATCCCTTCTATGGCCCGGGGAAGTGGTGTACCCGCCAGACGCCCACGCTGTGCTTTCTGGGCTCCGTTGCCCCTCCTACGGGCCCTGGGCCGGCTTCTCTGTTGTCAGTGGCGAGCTCCCCCCTCCCCGTTCTATGGGAGCGATGCAGATTGCATCACTTCCGGTCCCGTAGCTGTCAGTGCTGGGCTCCTGAAGCCCAGCTATAAGCTATTGAAGTGCGATTTTGCACTTCAATAGCTAATTTGGAGTGTAAAGGTGACATGGGGTCTTTTGGACCCCCAGCATCACCTTAAAGAGTACCTGTCACCACCATCTGCTATCACATGGGGGGCTTGTAAGCATTCCTATGTGATAGCAATCAAAGTAAATTAAAAAAATATATATAACCGTTTTTAATATTGAAATGAAATACAATAAATCTAAAAATTATTTAAAGAAATGTTTTAAAATCCCCCGCGAGCACGCGCATCGGCGTGTAAACACGCGTCGAGTGTGCCGTATGAAAGCGACAAACGCGTTACACATGTTTTGGTATCGCCGCGCACGCCAGAGTGAGAGCAATAATTCTAGGGCCAGTATTTTTGGTTATCTCTAAATTGATGACCTGCAACTGTCACCATTTTATTCTACAGGGTCTTGGCATTCAGAAAATAATGTTTGGGGGTTTGAAGTAATTTTCAGGCCTCAAATGTGGAATATAACATGGGTGCAAAAAAAATTAAAACAAGGCCTCAGACATGAAGGGGTTAAATCTGGCAGCTCCAAATTGCCCACAAAGGACTTGGTCATAATCAATCTGGCATCTGCCAAATTATCCAGAGCTGCTTTCTAGTAACCATTTTTTCAGCTCTGCAAGTTTCAGGTAGCAGCTCTCCATTTCTTTCCCTGCATGGGTATAGGGTGATGATGCCTCTAAAAATGCTCATCCTTGCCTTAAATGATGTCCTTACGACAAGTAAAAAAAAGTCTGTTTTTTTTTTTTAAGCCCAGACATGCCCAAAGCTGTCACTAATCAAATATAAGAATATTTTGCTTGGAATACCCAATAAAACACAAAACAAGCCTGGCTGGCTCACAAAGCATGTGTAAGGGGGTATTCTTATTCATAGTGCTGTAAATGAAAAGAAACCAAATGCGGTCTAATAAACCAAGTATTTTTTTAATTACTTGTACAATACTTCTCCCTCCACAGTTCCCAATCCAAACAATATAGAGAGTTGTACATTCTTGTCTGCGCTCTTCATCAAAGGTAGAATAAATAATGAATACAGTGAAATGGACGTAGAAATAGTAGCTACCCAGATATACTTGACAGAAAAGAAGCAAAGCCTTGACTTGGGAAATGGCATATAAATAGGATGCATGTGCCAGTTTCAGATGTAATATAATTTATACAAGGTGAAGAGACCCTATCCCCCTCCAAACACACAGTTTGCTATTGTCAAATGGAAAAGGAAGATATAGGGTCAGTTGTAGATCATAAAACTATGCATTAGGGGATGCACAGATATATTGTCCGAAAATGGCACTTTTGGCATAATGCCGAAAGTGCCATTTTTTGGCCCATACAGCGGTGCATCCATTCTTTCTCTCCTCCCCACTGGGCACAGGCGGCCGAGCGTTGCGGGAGGAGAGCGCCGTGAGCAGCCTTTGTTTCTCCTCAGACACCGCTCAGCCTCCTGTCTCCTTCCTGACATGCTGTCACAAGAGGCTGAGCGAGTGTCTGCTCGCTCAGCCTCTTGTGACAGCATGTCAGAAAGGAGAGCGAGTACAAACACTGATCAGTGATCGCTGAGTGTTTGTAAATAATTGAGGACATCGTATGTTATTATTATTAGACAGGATTTATATAACGCCAACAATTTGCTCAGCGCTTTACAAAATAGTGGAGACAGTACAGTTACAATACAATTTACAATACAGTTTCAGAACAATAGGGTTGGGAGGGCCCTGGTCGTGAGAGCTTACAATCTAGTAGGAGGGGCAAGTGATACAAAAGGTAATTGTTTGGATTGAGTTATTGTGGGAAGTAAAAGGCAGTTTTGTTGAGATGAGATAGGCTTCCCTCAAGAGATGGGTTTTTAAGGATCGCCTAAAAGTGGGCAGCGTGGGAGATAGGCGGACAGAATGGGTTAGGGAGTTCCAGAGGATGGGGGACACTCTGGAGAAGTCCTGGAGGAGCGCATGGAAGGAGGTAATTAGAGAGCTGGAGGTCTTGAGAGGACGGTTTGGGTCATATTTTGAGATGAGGTTGGTGATGTAGGTTGGGGCAGAGTTGTAGATGGCTTTAGTTGTTAGTATTTTTAATTTTATTCGTTGGGCAAATGGGAGCCAGTGGAGGGATTGGCAGAGCAGGGCGGCAGACACTGAACGGTTGGTAAGGTGGATGAGACTGGCAGCAGCATTCACGGTAGACTGAAGGGGGGATAGTCTGCTTAGTGGTAGGCCAACAAGGAGGGAGTTACAGTAGTCGAGGCGAGAGATTACAAGGGAGTGAATTAGAAGCTTTGTGGTTTTGTTTGTGAAAAAGGGGCGTCTGTTTACTATATCCTCAATTATGAATGAATGGGAAATGATCTACATCACCTCCTGTTCATTTATGATTGTGGATATAGCAAACCTACTATGTCCTCATGTTATGAATGAACAGGAACGCTCAGTAAAGCGGATTCCTGTTCATTTATAACCGGTACTGCAGAAAAAAAAATGAGGACTCCCGTGTACTCAATCTCTTTTTCTATTTTAAAAGGGTAATATCAGGGGGTCTGTTTAGACCCCTAATATTTCCCGGAAGCCCCTAAAAGTAGAATAATTATTAAATTTTTTTTAAAGTTTATCAAAATAAATAAAAATTAAATTGAAAAAAAAATGTGAAAAAGTTAAAATAAAAAAACATTTTCCGTTTTGGCCTGACATTTACATGACGTTTTTATTCCTGCTTCGTTTCAGTTTTGACATTTTTATTTCAGTGCGCCTCTACTATGCATAATACTTTACTCACATAGTAATGGTAATATAAACTCACAGATATTTGAATTGGTCCATTGTCATAATATGTTGAACACAGTCAGGTAGGTGTTGCACTAGTCTGTCAACTGGATGCAGGGTGAACTTATCCCTGTTGATGGTGAGGCCCAAGAAAGATAAGGGATTTGAGGAATGTTAATAAATGTGCTGCGTGTTGTCTCCCAGGAACAGCAGCGTTTTGCTTGCATATAGGGCCAACTTATTTTCCCTATCTCCCCATTTAAATACAGCTATGTGATTGGGTAATCTTATCGCCAGCGCGGAGAGGAGGGGCATTCTTGCAGAGTTGCCCTCCCTGGAGTAAGGATTTCAGAAAGTTCATAAGTAACTCAAGCACGCACCTTAGGGGGTCATCTGTAAAAGTTGCACCCATTTCTTAATTGGTCAAAATGCATAAGTTTAGAGATCGCCTTACTGGGCTGGTCACTAATACTGGGGCTAGTATTTTAACATCAGAACAATTTAAGCAATAGGGCATTTATTTTAAGAGGCATTATGCAAGTTAGGAAAAAAGTTCCTGATTTCAAGAAAATTCAGAAACTAAGCACTGCCCATTGTAAGAAATTAGCTAAGCTACTGTATAGGTGCCCATACACTGTACGAGAATCGCGGGAAATCCTGCGATCGTACGATACTCGCAAAGTGTATGGAAGGCGTGCAACCGTTTCTACTGTACGGTCGCACGTCTTCCGACGAACAAGCAGGTTGAAAAACCCGCCGGGAATCGTACGACTTGGCGAGTTAGTGGCCTGCTTGTTCAACAATTGCCGAACGGACCGGTGTGCGCACAGTGCCCATTTGCATTCATCGGAAGCCCGCCCCTCATTGCATTCATCGGAAGACCGCCCCTCAGGGGGGCGGGCTTGCGATGATCGCAAGTACAATCTGCCTGTCCAAGATGGGCAGATCGTACGTTTTTAAAATTACTTTACAACCCTCGCAAGACAAAAGTCTTGTGAGGGTTGTAAAGTGTATGGCCACCTTATGTGTCCGGTTTAGCCATCGGTTTTCTACAAAACAGCTTTCCTTAATTGTTGCTGCTGAGGTTTAAAAGGAACCTATACACACTGAACCTACCAGACCATTGGGACTAATGTAAAAAAGTGGTACTTAATCCTTTTATGTGATTTAGGTGTACGTTTAATAAACTGTGAAAGAGTGTGATAAGGAGTGAGAAGGCTTTTCTCACCTTATGAAAGTGAAAAGTCTATAAAATGGTGTTTAATAAACCGTGATAAGTCAGGTAGGAACTGAAATATCTCACCTCTTATCATTCTGGTGATAAGTACACGGAGAGTAATGGGAATGTACCTGTTTAATAAACGGAGAAAAGTAGAGAACAGCTTTATCACTGGATAAGTATTGTGAAAAGTCCCCTCGATTTATCACCTTGTCAGACCTGGTGATAAAGGCCTTTTTCTCGTGAAGCACTGAGCAAAGATTCGGGAACTTGTCATAAACCTACTCCTTTTTATAGACAGAACAGGAAAAAGAAGCACCACTTCTTCACTATGTTTGCTGAGGCTGATTTGGATTTGGCAGCAGCAATTGTAGCATGCACAGCAGCTGCAGTACATGTAACCCATGAAAGCATTGGGGATGTTCGGTTCAGGAAACCACGTTTGTACATGACCCGCACAGTCCTGGATGAGCTTTCAGATTACGATGTGGAGGACATGTTTAGACTGAACCGTCAGGGGATCATGGATTGCATCTGGAGGACATGGCTACAGTGCAATTCACTTCAATGGCCCGCCACACCCCCTCCTGCTCCATTAAAAAGTCGCCCGCAATGCAAACAGTGCATTCTGGTCAGAATCGGGCCAGAACGCACTGCAACTGGTGTGAACGGGCCCTTAAACTGTCTCACCCCATCCTGTTGCAGCCAGTCACTCGGCTTGCACTTCACAGTGTTGTAGAGCTGCAGTCTGGATCAGTGTGCTAGAAAAGGGATACCAAGTTTAGAAGAGGCAAATACAATGTCTACTCCAAATAAGTATCCAAGGCCCTGCAAAGATAAACATGACCTTTTAGGTCTTGTTCACACCAAGCACGTTCCAGGAGCAGAGCAGTTACAGACTGGAGCAAAACTGCGTCCAATGTATTCCAATGGTATTTTTAGCTCCAGTTCACATTGCAGCGTTCCGTTCCCGAGCAGGTAAAAAAAACAGCAGCCCTATTTTACCTTTTCTGGAACGCATGCAAACGCATAAACGCACGCAAATGCCCTGGAACGCACTGAAAGCCAATTTTAAACTTTACATTTTTATTTTTTTTTACCAAAAATGGCCTGGAACGCATCAAATACGCGACACAACCCACTGCACTGCGTGTGCAGAAACTCATGCAGATCTGCTCTGCATTTGGTGTGAAAAAGGCCTTAGGGCTAGTTGACACCAAGTGCGTTCCAGGAGCAGAGTGGAACAGTTACAGACCGGATCAAAACTGCGTCCAATGTATTGCAATGGTATTTTGGGCTCTAGTTCACACTGCAGCATTCAGTTCCAGAGCATGTTAAAAAAACTGCAGCAAGACCTATTTTTCCTGCTCTGGAACGCATGAAAACCAAAAACGCATGCAAAAACACAAACGCACTGAAAGCCCATTTTAAACTAAAGAAAATCTTTTTAATTTATTAACAAAAACGGCCCAGAACACGGCAAAACACACCATGTGCAGAAACTCATGCAGATCTGGTCTGCATTTGGTGTGGACAAGCCCTTAGCGTCCGTTTTTTTTCCCCCCAATTTTTTTTTTACTTTAAAATGTCCTTTCAGTGCGTTTGCATGCATTTTTGATGTGTTTGCACGTGTTTGGGAGCGTCCCGGGGCAGGAAAAATAGGGCTTTCTGCTGTTTTTTTTTACATGCTCTGTAACTGAACGCTGAGGTGTGAACTAGAGCCAAAAATACCACTGGAATACATGGGATGCAGTTTTGATCCGGGCTGTACCTGCTCTGCTCCTGAAATGCGCTTGGTGTGAAATAGCCCTTAGTGTCCTCTATTTAAAAGTTTACTTTTTCATGATGTGTTTCAATGGTGGAACAATGTAAAACCTTTTGAAGAAGGCAACACGTTACAAAGTTCCCCAATTGTAAGAAATTATGTGGGCTTCCTCAATGAGAAGAACATGTAATGTAAGGCTTCTGTGCTGAAAAAACAGTTAGGAGTCAAACATAGCGCTGTCGAAGATTGTTCCTCACTCCCATTGAGGAGAATATAAATACAAAATCTGGAGCAGCTGTGCATGGCAAACAATCAGCTTCTCCCTTTCATTTTAGAATAGGAACAGAACAAACTGAAGAGAGAAGCTGAATGGTTACTATGGGCAACTACTCCAGATTTTGTCTGTCCTGTTTTGACAAATTCCCCCCATTGATTTTAACTCTTTTGAATAGGGGACATATTACACAACAAACTGAAATAACGGACATATGATATACCCTTTCAAATACATTACGAATTAGTCTCTGTTAGCGACAATTATTCATACATTGGTAGGGTCAAAAGTAATAATTTTGGGATGTCCCCGGGTGGCATTTTTGTGTATCCCCCCCCAAAAAAGGATTGCCATATGTATATGTCACATAAAAAAATACTTTTTTTTTTTTTTTCACGATACAAACGGTCTTTGACAGTACACATGCTGAATGCGGCTAGGTCCTGCACACCCCTGTTGTGGAGACAACCCAACCCACCCACAGTAAGACTCTGGTTTACTATCATGGATGATATATATCGTATGGAGGATCTGACGGCCTCCTTGCGTAATGAGGAGGAACGCTTCAAGTCCACCTGGATGCCTTGGCTCCATTTCACTCACTCCGCTGCCTACGTGGCTGAGACAGGAGGGAATCCGGCGACACAGCGGGACACTGGATGAAGAGAATGATTTCCGGAGATGATACCCGATGGCCACAGAGACACGACCGATGCACCATTTGTCTTCCTTTCTTTCCTTCTTTCTTTCCCATCTGCTCTTTTGCTGATCCCCTTCCCTCACTCCACACCTCGATGGTGAGATATGATGCAAGGGTAACCACGCACTAGTGGTCCACACCTGGCTCTCTCGGAAAGACTCCCTTCACACATGTGCTATGGTTCATTCCAAGTTGATAGTCTGGGGGAGCGGGGTGTACCACGCTTTGGCATAAATGTTGATTTGTTCTGATGCCATATTGGCTTATTTAGTTGTCCATATTCTGTAATTGCAGTGTGTATGACGGTCCAAATAGGCGGAGCTCGCTCTGGCTCTACCATGGTCTGGCGAGACAGGGTAGCTCCGTGTGGGCAGTCTGCAAGGGTAGGAGTTTCCTAACAGTTAGGTTGCTCCACTCCGGTGGGGCCCAACTATCCTATGTGTTACCAGATGTCTTTAATCGGTTTCAGTGCGATGATGATACGGCTTATGTCTGTCTGATAATGCTAGTTTGCTGCCAGTAGACTGTTAATGATAACGAATGTTATGGGAATAACTTTTCTTTTTTTTGCCACTGTACGACATACTGATGAATGCAATGTACGCAAACAATAAACAAAGTATTTTAAAAAAAGACCATTTTTAATCTATAAAAAACGAGAATTTGTGTGGGTGTGAGGAAGGAGAAAGATGGGAATTATGTGGAACAATGACAGGGCAAAAAGGGCCAGATTGCTACGGACACCAAAGGGGTTATATGAGTAGGAGGTGAGTATGAGGCAAATATGAAGGGGGTGTTTCATCACATTTGGTGAATATCTACATGGGTAAATGCATTACATTGGGATTTGATTTGATTAGTAAATGGAGTGCGGAGCACCTTTTTCGGTGTGTTTGGTAGTTCGATTCATGATTTTGTACTGGTACATGCTGAACAAATTGGAACATGTAAATCCTGCTTTTTAGCATTTTTCATGATTTTTACCTGAGAAATAACTGTTGCACTTTGCTATAGAGGTGCTTTGTAATATTGTTAACGAGTGATTTAGCAGAGTAAACTATGATCCTGTCAGGAGAATTGTAGATTATCACAAAGGATGTCCTTGTGCAGCTCAGAATACATTCCCCGTATTACTTTTACTACTAAACACTGTGATGACTTATCACTGCCTTTCACAGGTGTTTCGTGTGATACGTTTTCTTTTCGCAGATTATTAAACAGCCTCTGTGCAGCCGAGAAAAGCAAAGTGAACTTGTGATAAAGCTACTTTTATCACGGTTTATTAAACGTACACCTTAACATTTTAGAAGTTGAAGAATTGCATACTGCTAAATATCACTTGCAAAATGACTCTTACATTGTTGCATTTTATAGCTGGACAAAAAGAACAGAGCAAAGATCACAGACCTGGGTTTCTGCAAGCCAGAGGCTATGATGTCTGGCAGCATTGTGGGAACGCCTATACACATGGCACCGGAACTTTTTTCAGGTAAAAAAAAAAAAAATTGATGTGCTTTATTTAAGAGAATGTTCAGAGTATTGCTTGCAAGGAACCACTTCTGTAGCTAGGAACATCTCCTGTAGCTCCTGCCTGAAATATAGCAGATGAGCACTAAAAAGAAACGTGGCAGGATACCGCGTGTGTCGCGGTAAAAAAATTGCGCGACACGCGCGTTTCCGAGGGCTACTTGGCTGTATCCCAATGGAAACGCGCAACAAAAACGGCCCAAAGTAGTACCTGTACCTTTTCAGGCGTGGGCCGTTTTGTAGCGCGTTAGGGACGGGAGGAAATACGCCAAGGTGGGAACCAGACCATTGAATACAATGGGATTTATATTTTTGAGCGTTTTGTAGAGCGTTCGGCGAGCGTAGAACGCGTTACAAAACGTTCAGGTGTGAACGAGGGCTTATGCTTCCTTGCCCTCTTCACAAGCACTTTATGGCCAGGAGATTAATTCTCATTGTCTCAAACTTATTTATCTGTGCAGGCAGATCTGTGCATGCACTAATTTCTTTGGAGCGAGTAGTAACCAGCTCAACACAATAATAAAATGCCCTTTGGCTTATTTAAAAAAAAAAATTATTGTAGAGTTTTTCTGTAGCGTTAAAAGATAAGGCACCCTGTGGATTTCATAGGTTTTTGCACAAAAGTGCCCTCTTTTATTTATTTTTTTTCCTCCTGTCTTTCTCCCTATTGGAAAGATTTCTTCTCACTTTCTGTATTGGTGAGATAATTTTTTCCCAATGAGAACAGTGGCAGAAAAAAAAAACTGATAGAGGTTCTAGGACTTCCTCACTCTATCCAAAACAAAGAAGAATAAGTTTGAGCTGGGGCTTCGCTTTAAATGTTAAATGGACGAAAAGTGTGTTCTGTTAAGGTGATGACACAAATTCATTTTTCTCTTCTTTTTTTTTTATTCTGTTAAAAAAAATCTC